TGAGCAGAGACTGCAACGGGGCGCTGACGTAATCGTTCGCCGCGTTTATGCGTACACCACATCGTGAAAGAGAGCGAGATCGTCTCTCCTCTCTCTCTCTCTCTTCGTCCGTCTGTATTTCGCTGCGTTCGAAATTCAACGTGATCCTAGATATATTGCTAAATAATTCAAGAATAGGATCCTAATCGATCGAACGTTAACGAAAAAAAATTCGATTGAGACTCGTAACGAGAGATTCATTGACTGATAAAGTCTTTCTACGGTAAAAATATCTCGAATAACGAAACATTGCCAAGTCAAAGAGAAGATTTCGTCAAGTTCGCCTTCGTTTAACTGCCGACTCGTTACCCGAGAGTTCCTGATTAAGGTCAATGTAAAGACAAGAACGAGGTGGGGCTAACGTAACGCGTTCGATGACGGAAGAAAAGAGAATTTTATGCAGAAATCCTTGGCTCATGCTTGTAAAAAAAAAAAAAGTTCCTACGTACGTATAACAGATAAATTGATTTTTCGCGCACGAGGTGACCGAGCGACCGGTTTGGGGGCAACGAGGGAATATCGATTTGTTATTTTTAGGGGCGGTTCAATCTGCGGACCCCACCTATGGTTACTTCTGTCTTCAAAAATTCGACGTTAACAGGCCATCCATTTTTTTCAACGACTCGATCGTATATCTAATGCATTTTGTTTCTCAGGAGTACATTTTCTCAAATCGCTAATGGCGATTAAAAGGAAAAAGAAAAGAGGTCGCTATAAAACAATAATTTATTTATTATTCATTTAATTGGCGAACGCAGCTAGATTCTTTTATTGTTTTTTTTTGTTTTTCTTTTTCTTCCTTTTCTTTTAGACGAGTATTCGTAGCCTAAATGAAATAATAAATAAGTGTTTTAAATAATTGCATTGGAATGACTTAAAATAAAGTATAATAATAGAACGATTGAGTTGCGTGACTCATTCGTGATAAGATATCTGCGAACTAGGGTACAGGCCTATATCAAATGCAAATGAATAATATCTTAAAACTTCAAATTAAAATATCTATTATATGTGTATTTGATTAGGGCCCGTAATCTTACAATTTAACCAAAAAGCGATTGTACTACCGTCAACAAACATTATTCGCGTAGACACCTTATGTGATTTATATTTTACAAGGCACTTATTGTCGAATTTATCTAAAACGATCAGTAAATTGTCTCGTAAGAAATAATAGCGTCTTTTAAATAAATGATATCGCAATAATTATTGTCGATACCGTAAGTCACAATGATAATTAAAACAATCTGTCGTATAATTAACAGCTATAACTAAATGCATTAAAAAATCCTTCCGACGAATTTTTCTCGCTATCGAGCATCGTCGGTAACTATTACGACAATGTGTACAAGCCGTTGGAATACTTAAGCCCTTCTACGACTTCGATTTTTGCGGGATCTGGGTTGCAGAAATGTCGCAACAAAATGTTATTAAATCCACAATCGCTCAAGTTCTCTTGTCCGAATACATTTCGTTGAATCTTTGCTGCATCCTCGGTTTCTATTCGTTCTACGAGTGGAGGGGTTTTTTTTTCTATTTTCTTATAATGATGTCGATACATTAAATTTGATCTATAACGGAGCTACTTACCTGAACCATGTTTTGCAGCTGAAAACGATGTGGTCGTTGTTAAATGAGCACAACTAACAGAAAACTCCTCTAATTGGCTCGATTTCATCATTTCGCAAAGAGAAGGTAATACGTGAGGTAAAAGAGGACCTTTCAGTTCCAAAGAATGAAATCTGTCCTTATCCACCCTAACTATGCTTTCTTTAACCTTTACGGGGAAAAAAAAAATTATATTTCATATTCAAGGATGTAAAAAAGTATTAAATTAGTACCTTCAATGGTTTTAGAGTAGCTCCATGAAACGCCATGGGTGCTAGCAGAGTCGGTGGTACACCAGCTAATGCACCAGTTGTCGTTATGGCTGACTTACAATTAATTAACAAGTTGAATAAAGCTTGTGCTTCTACACCTTTGACAAAAACGAGCGACTGTTTCATACTATCCATTTCGCTTTCCTTCTCTAAAATCATTCTCGCCTATGACGATGAACACGTTATAGAAAATGAAACTCAAACGTACATCGTAATGTTGCATCTACCTGAGAACTATTAATTTTTCGGATCTCAGAATTCTCTACGCCAAGGCTTTGCAACCATTTATCTTGCGCTTCGTCTTCTTCGTCATTAATGATCAAAGCTGAAGAACTAGAATCCAAAGTTTCACATCCAGAATCGGTCGGATCCGATGGCCTTTTATGTTCTTTCTTTAATGGCATAGTATACTCGATCTCTAAAAAAAAAAAAAAAAAACATACATCGCGCGTTAACAATTCCATTAGATTGAAATATAAATTATGTCTATAAATTTGTATACCTTCTTGTTTCAAAGCTTGTCGAAAACCACGCGTTGTAGGCGTTAACAAGGCATGCATTTCGGATAGACCGCATATTCCAGCAGCACGGAAAAGTACGGTGAAATTATTCGTACAGACATAAAAATAAGGACACTGCCGTGCACGCAACAAATGAAAAAGTGATCTGAAACTATCGCACCATTCTCTGTACAAAGCATCTCTTATTAGTTGATTGTTTGCTACCGCAGAATTGCTTCCTAGACTTGCACTCACTTTGCCAGCAGAGCGAGGGAATAACTCTAACCACGGTAATGATGGATGTTGCCATACCAAGCAACATTGGTGAAATCTAATAGAAACATTGCAAAATTGAATAGTACAAGAACAAAAAATGGAACGTAAAGCTCTCATAAAAAAAAAAAAAAAAAAGAAAAAGCTCACCTTGCATTTGGACTAGTGTCCAAAGTAGTTTCCTTTTGTCCGATATCTAAACACCTTACAAAACTCGTAGTACCAGAAGCTTCTTCGCTTGTTTTCAATTTACTGTTCCATGGGAACGGCTTCGAAGACATAAATCTCATTTTAGTTTTTAACGTCCAATCAATCGGTACATACTTTTCACCTTTTGGAACTTCTACTTCTGGTACGCATGCATTATTTTCTAGCTGGGCTAGAACGCTGGTAAAACTCAAAGGATTAGCTGGCGTGGTATTCTCAATTGTTTTTTGTCTCTTAACGCTAATATTTAATAACTCAAACAAAGTATTGTCATTGCTATTTTCTAGATCCGTCAGTGTCATATCCTTTTGCCCTTTGTCCGCCAAATCGTCTTTTACAAAAGGATTCTTACGTTTTTGGGATGTTTCTTGTTTCAAATTAAAATTACAATTATTAGAGGAATTATTCAAGGCCGATGATCCTTTATCGACATTACGTATTCTATTCATACGTGCTTGCAAAGCACGCTTTTTCATTTGTAATCGATGCAACTGCATCACTTGATCGGGCAGCTTCCATTCTAACGGGTTTGGGCTTTCCACGTTCTCCATTGATAAGTTGAGCTATCTGTCTCATGCTATTATACAAAGAAAATACTTGTTACACACAATTTTTATCAAAAAGATAAATTACGAATGAAATTTGAAATCGAATGTTTAGATTATGAGGTTAAGTTATATAGAAAACATATACACGTACATGGAATAGTGAAGATATTATTATATTATTATTATTATTATTATTACGTACCAATTAATTAAAAGATTTGTCGATAGGATAATAATTACTTTTAAATTCTCTTTTAAAATATTACTACGTATATTTCAGACGCCAAATAAAGACCCCACGGACAGCTGATACCGCGGACATGTTGTTTGTCTTGTGAGAAGCATGCGCAATGGATGTCAAAGACTTTGCGATACGTTCGTAGCGCCATCTTAGGCGTATCGAAGGAGATCGCCTAAGTTCATTCGGCGCGTTCATTCAATTATCTATCATATAAATATAATATAAGACGAAGCAAAAATAACATATGTATAAATGTACACATCTATTAAAAATCGAATAGAACGATATGATAAATAATGAATTCAATTAATTATGGAAGATCTTACGATAACCAACAAAAATGAACTTTGTACTTTATTTATTATGACTATTGTATTCGAAAAAAAAAAGAAAAGGAAACGTTCGATTTTTATAATTCAATTTTTGCATGAAACCTTTAGAAGTCACATATTAGGATTTGGCATGGCTTCAATTATGAGAAGAAATTTATGCGATTGTACGATTATGCGTACGATAGATGGATGAACGAAACGGATAGGAAAAATTAGGAAAAGTAGGAAAAATATCATTTATCACTGAAAATTGTAAATTTTGATTGGCCAAGTTAAAAACGCTTTTATGTACTTTTCATTAAAGCGAAATGTTCGATGGTACGTCGAATCTTCGTGAGAATTATCGTGGACGAGTACCGAATTATAAAATATTCGTTCCGAGCACTTACTCGACTCACGTTAAACAATGTCGAATAGTTGAAAATTCTATCAAAGAGTTAATTCAAAGGACGTGAAAAAGGTAGTAACTTTCGACGATGATTTATTTTTTCTTTTCTTTTTTATTTCGAAACATCGATTTCCGAGACGTCTAAAACGTCTCCAGCGCTTATACCAATGACAAAATGATCGTTTAATTATTATCGACAATTTGTGTATTTAAGCATGATTAAAAAAGGACCAAGCATGATAGCACGATCCCCTTTTGGCGGCGAGTTTTCTCTCCCTCCCACGAGAGCTATATAGCTTATCATCGCTTATCGCGATCTTCTCACTGATTCTTGGCGATTTGCAAATCTACGTCGAGACGCGTACACTGACAAACATCCATTGACCTAAGACTCCTCGTTCGGCGCGTGGGAGTAGGAAAAGGAAGATAGGAAGAGCCTTTCTTATGCTTGCTTTCTCTCTCTCTCTCTCTCTCTCTCTCGCTCTCTCGCTCTCTCGCTCTCTCTCATTCTTCGCGTTTCCTCGCTCCTTCTTACTTTTTTTCTTTTACATACACACAAATACACACACACACACATACACGCACGCACGCACGCACGCACGCACGCACGCACGCACGCACGCACGCACGCACGCACACTCCTTGTGCTCGAACGACAATTTCGCGTATTTTTCGCCCTTTGGAGAAACCTCTTTTTGGCACACAATCATCCGGTACTCAGCAACTTTGCAGTGAACAAGAAGGGATGCCTTCTTCACCGTGGCCAGAGTACTGGTATGAAGAGAAACATCGAAAGAATATGCGACAAGCTGTTAGTGTATCCTGGAGCCCTTCCACCGGCATTGCTCGCCCCGGAACTTTGAGCGGCTTCTGCTAAACCTGTAAGAGGATAAATTTCGTCTATAATTTCTTTTTCGTCGTCTCTAATAATAATAAATGTAATAATTTTTTGACAAATCACGTGGGCAAATGTACGTTCGTACATTTAAATGTAAAATACGTTATATGGATACACGATGGAATTAAATGTAGGATAAAAATAGAAGGATATCGACAGTGACATCGCGTAATCTACTCACCGCCTATGATAGACACGTGGTCCTTCCCACGAGACGTTCTGTCAAAGCCGATTTTGATCTCTGTAACAGTCGAGGGATAAGCGTTATGTCGATATATCTATCGACTACGTGCTCGTGCTAAGCGTAAGATGACGATTTTCGTTCGTTTTAATGGCCCTCGTGTACTCTTTGACGCGTGAATATGTATATTAAAAATTATAATACCATCATTATAAAAACTACTAAATGTTTAAAATTTGAAGAATTTTAATTACTTATCTCGATTTTCATGAAGATAACATTTCTCATTACTTCACATTTTTCGAATTCTTTTAGAATCATTCGATGAAAGATTCTTTGCAATCCTTTTATCTAACATACCATACAATCTTAAGGTACCATCGGCCCGGCCAAGACTGTTAGTAGAGATGCATTTGTAGCTCCCCACATCCTGTTCCGTGAATCCTTTGATCGCCAACTCCATTAGGACTTTATAGCCCGATCGTTCCTCGCGAACGCTGTACTTCGGTCTGTAATAGAACGAACAATGGATTACTACGCTGAAGCTTCATTAAAATGATGACTCTAACGAAGACTGATGAAGCAAAAGAATTAACAAAGAAGAAATCTAAATTGCGTTTAATAAAGTTAAGGAAAAAGAAAAGGAAGATTTACTTTTTCCTACGTCGGATCAAAGTGAATAAGAAAATAATATACGGTCTCACCCCTCTAGCAGCATCTCGTCGTTCGTCCCACGATGATTTTTCACCCAATAATTAATCGTATTTGGGAAAGCCTCGACGTAACACTTCAATGTTACCTCGGTGCCCAAAGGTGCGCCTAATAGCTGATTGGGTACCGTCACGGTGGGTGCGACTAAGAAAATTAAATATAATACTTTATTAAATAATATAAATTTCTTTTTTTAATTTCGACGATCCAACTAGACGGTTTAACCCTTGAATTATAAATATCGCGAGATAAGACGCAACCCGACGATCATTATGCCAATCGAGATTTTATCTCGTAAATATGCATGATCCATTTGAAAGGAGTAGATACACGTCCATTTACAGATAGAGAAGTTACTAACGCGAAACGTAAATCCAAAGAGATAAGATAGAAGACACGCGATGGACGTTAATACGCTTTTGACTGTGTCAAACTCGAATTTTCCCAGGGTACAAGTATTCTCTCTCTCAACGGGTAGATTTGAGAGAACTTTCCGAATAATTCGTATCGTTCATCGTTGTTCCATGCGCACACGATATTACATATAAATATTACATATAATCCATAAAATGTTTAGGAAATGTCCACGAGAAAGTAACACGATCGTTTTCGATATTTATCTTATGTTTACCGTTCACATTTAATATAACTAGTATAATATAACAAGAGAGAAACTAGTGCGCGTTCGATCGAACTCAATAAATAAATTCTTTCTACGCGATTTATTCTTTTTTTAACGATAAAAATATCTCTGATGAAACAGGTAACTCGTGTCAATGAATACGTTAAGACGATTATCGAATCATTTTGTATTAATATAATAAATGTCTAATATTCATGACTCTGAAAGACTGGGTATTTAGAATTATGATCTCCGATTCCGTTCAAATGGCACGAGTTGGGGCTGAAATTAATCATGTAAGATATCAAAAGTACTATCAGGTTATATGAAGTTTGAAGATGTTCGTTTGTATTTCCATAAACTAAAGACGGAGCTTATTTCGGCGCTAGGAGTGCACTCCAATTCCATGTTTAATTCACTAGTAATATCAAAGAGATAAAGGTAAAAGGAGAGGAGGAAAGAGGAGGAGGAGGAGGAGGAGGAGAGAGAGAGAGAGGAGACGTTCTATATTTTCTTCTAATCATACTCGAAGCAACCAATTTAATTACGCACATTGCTATTTCTCGTCGCAGTATCTTAATGGGAAACAAAACTGGCTCTGGAAACGAAGGACCGCACAGGTAAAGGTAAATATATATAGAAATATATAGAATACGCGAAAGAGAAACGTAGAGGCAAAGAAAGAGAAAGAGATAGAATTATGTTCTCGGAACAGTCGTTTCGAAGTCCGCATTGAAGCGACTCGCCGACGCAATCGATTTACCTCGTCGTCCGTTTTAAACCCTCCGAAATCAGCTTCCCTATCAAATTTTGCGAGTTCACGATTCAGGAAGTATGCACGGTTTGATATTCCTAAAGTTTTTAACGCAAGAAAAAAAAATAAAAGAAAAAAAAAAAAAAAAAAAAGAAAAACAATTTCTATATTTCTCTATCTCTTTTGTTAATTTCATTGGTTTTTGTTATAATACATTTCCGAAATTAATATACAAGGAGTTGTTGAACTACTCGTTGTAAAAGAGAATTCAAAGAAATACTTGGTATTCTGATCGTAATAAAAGAAAAGAAAAGAAAATTCAAATGGCAGGCATCTTAAGCAGGAAGCTTATCTCGTTGCATCGACCATATTATCGATCGAGAAAGTATAGAATATTTAAAAAGGATTTTCACGAAACCAATGCGAGAAAGTCGATCGTAGTCGAGAAAATGAAACAACCTCTCGAAGAGATAGTAAGTACGTAAGACGACTTCCTTCTGACGAACCTGCTGACGAACCCATAAACCTTGTTTCTCCGTCGCAAACTTAGTTATCCGCTGTAATATCTAAAATTTCAGGGTGAAGTCGCAAACAAACCATTCATGTTCTCTTGTACTCTACGGAGGATAGTAACCGAAGAACAAATTGATTTCTCTTTCTTTCTCTCTACCTTACAATTGTAGTTTCTCCGTTTATCTCCTGGAAACTAGAAAAGAACGAAGATAAAGATATGTACTTTGTTAAAGCACATATTAGTATTATCAGCGAATATTCTCCGTTGTTGGAGAAACTTCTCTTTTAACGCACGGGACAAAATCCCGTTACATCTTTTTGTGATCGGAACAATGAACCGGAAGTATCGCAATTATGAAAATGACAGTAGCGTAATTAATAGGTGAACTTTGTACCGAACAGCGGAAGCCCGCATACGATGGGATTAATTCAACATCAAAGCTTTACGTTGAAGAGAGAGAGGAGAGGAGAGAGAGAGAGAGAGAGAGAGAGAGAGAGAGAGAGAGAGAGAGAAATTTCAAAGGCGACATTAAAAGAAAAAAATGGAAAAGAAGAGGAAAGAATACGAAAAGTGATCGATAAAGAGATCGTGGGATAAAGGGTAAGAGGGAGGAAAAGGGTGGAAGGGAGTTTGGTCGAAGTCGACGGTCAGCGTCTTCCAGCTTGCACGGACGCGTCGTTTCCACAGTGCCAGGTCGTTACGTCACACACAAATATATACACAGAGACACCCACGCAATCCAAACACAAAGCAACGATTGTAGAAGGACAATTCGTTCTTCTCGTACGTAGGTATAGTACATACATAGGTATGTATGTATGTATGTATGTACGTACATACGTCCGTAAGTAGAAAGTTCGCGGTAGAAAAGAGAGGTCACGATCGGAAATCAGAGAGAAGAAAGGAACGGGAACTTACAATTCACGGCGAGCATCACTCGCTTGCTAACGGCCGGTGGCACGTCGTTGCTGGCGATGCAGAGATACACCCCCATTTGTCGTCTCTCGACGCGATGGAATTGCAGGAGGGAACCGTTGTAGTTCTCGTGCTTCTCGAAAGTGCTTCCACCTGCGCGCACGTAAGAAAACGTTACTGTCGCGTCGTATTTCCTTCCTTTCGTCTTTAATACCAATCCCTTCTCTACCATTCCAAAACCAACCCCTTATTCTCATCTTTTACCATTTCTTCCTTCTTCTTTTTCTTTTCCTTCCTTCTATACCTTAACCATCGATCGAACGTTAACCCCCTTTTTTCTCTTACTCTCTTTGAACTCTCTATCACCGATAAGATAAGAGATATATTTGACTAGTCACGTAACTCGTTACTACTCTGAGTTACTAGTCGAAAGATCAAAAAGATTTAGAAAAGTCGCTTGAAGTCGTTTCGACAATCTTCATTTTATTTTTCTTTTCTTTTGATTCTAATGTCACGTCATCCTTCGAGCTGCATACGTGCAATTCATTTTTTATTTCTCCCTCGATTAAAATTTCATTACCAATAAAGAATTAATATAATTTAAGGACATACGACCGCATAGGTCGATTTCGTTTAACGACAATCGGAGTCATCATGTAATACTTGAAACGACGTATGACTTTTCTCGCTATATCTCTTGAATATTTTTTCGTACCATTAGTAACACCATCAAGATGAAGGGAGATAAAGACATCTCCTTGTAATTGGCCCAACTTCCTCATGAAACGTTCTCCCGGTAATATAAGCGACTCGACGTTAACCACGAAACGGAATACGTTAGCGCGTTAAACGACTAAAGTACGTGACGGTAATTTTATTGGCGAGCGATCGCACGATTATACCCTTTTTCTATTAATTCTTTTCATGTTAAGTGTTTCTGTGTGCGTTGAATAATTGGCGGAAAACGAAAGAACGAGAGGAGAGAAAAAAAAAATGATTAAAAATATCGATAAATCGACTTTGATCTTCGGCGCTCGTGCGTTTTCGAAATTCGATGATAACGCACGTTAAAAGAGGAATTAATAACGATAAAGCGTCATGGCATCGATCCGCACCGATTTAACATCGCATCGACGCGAATACAGAAATAATCGCCGTAAATGTAACCATTTCGATATACCTCGTTGGGCCGATGAAAAATTCAATCTGTTTGGAAACTTTCATTATCCGATTTTGCGCTCATTAAGGTTGGATGCATGCGAAATTAGACGAAAACATATACGTGTGAAAAAACGAACTGTTGCAATTTCTCGAGAATAACAAAAACGTGTAGAGCCACGCTAAAATTGTTGTCTATAATAAAAACCAGTAATTCGAATCTTTTTACGTACATATGTATTTAGAAACGTGTTATTGAAAAAACATGGTATCTTTCTTGATAACTAGTAGAACTAGTTCAATAAAACAAATCTCAAGTTTCGAAAGCTAAGAAGTAAAAGCTTCGAGGACGAAGACGAAGGAGTACGAGGCAGAGTACCAGGAGCAAAACTAAACGCGCAAACACTAGAAGTGAAAGAAGAAGAGACGAGAAAGATATATGCTTAATTCACTACTTAGGCAGCTCTAACGAGTTCGCTAAGTGAGCGAGCGCTAACGAGTTTGCCGAGCTCGTAAGAAAGACGGTGTAGGGTAGAGGAGAAGCTTACTCGCGCGCGCGCAAAACTTAGGCGCAAGAGGGAGATAGATAGATAGATAAATAGAGAGAGAGAGAGAGAGAGAGTGAATAAGGAGGCATCGTTGGTTTTGCCATCTGTGGTTTCATCCTTTGAAAGGAAAACGTTGATAAGGCCGTACTGAAAAATACTTTAGCTGCAAGAAAAGGGAAGAATTGGAGGAGAGAGAGAGAGAGAGAGAGAGAGAGAGAGAGAGAGAGAGAGAGAGAGAGAGAGAGAGAGAGAGAGAGAGGGACGGGTTAAGGGAAAACTACGTCGGCCAAAGTTTTGCCAACTCGAACAACTATCTTCGTAGCGACTATCGTTGCGTTCATCTATGTATGTGCATCTTCTTCTTTGCGTCTTATTGTTACACGTTTTAGCTCGTACACACCAAGACACAAGCTAGTTCTACTTTTCAAGACACAGCCCGAAGCCGCGGTAGACGTTCGTACACACTGGGCTGCTACAAGTACCATCAAGAGGATTCTCTCCCTTCTGTTTCTCCTTCGAACGGGCGTACTACCACACGCTCGAACATCATCCAGCACCTTCCCCTTCTATTCTTCTTCCACGTAAGCCCACCAACCAACCAACCGTCTTCGAAGAGAGAGTTCAAGAAGTGGAACTTGATTCAACGACCTTCCTCGTTATACCCACTCCTCTCTGTTCTTACATCCAATCTGTGTACTCACGTTCGAAAATGCTCTGCCTCTCGACTTTGCACCTACCTGACTCGCGAGCCTTTCTTAGCACTGGAATATCGCGCAAAAAAGACCCGTCGATAACCGACCCTTGATTCTTCTCTTTTGCTCTTCTTCTTGTAAATTATTTTCGCACTTACAACGTTGAAAATAGACGCACCGAACGAATATGAAGATTTTTCCTTGCTCTTTGATATCCTCTATCTCGGAAAACGTTTCCCCCTTCCTTTCGAATTATGTTCCTTTAATATTTTAAAATGCGTAGGAATAGGCGGCTCCGTTCCACCGGATTTTCCATTTCTCCTCGCTAAAGATTTACGATCGTTCGTCTTCAAGAATCCCACGCAAAGGCAGTAGAACGATATAAAGGAATCGAGATAATTTTCGGAAAGTTCCCCTAGTTTTGCCAGGAAGCACAAAGTATCTACCTAAGGCGATAAAAAGTTGAAACGACGTACGTCCGTGGTTTTGCGTTTATCGCGGCAAGTACGGAGTTTATATCGGCTGTTCAACGCAGACATTCTCCGTTTCCGAGCAGTCCAGAACTCGAAGCATGGCGAACGATATAAATGTTCAATGAATGACGATAAATCGTTGGGAGTTACGTTGATGGAAGCGATAATGGCTACATTTTTTCTCTTGCCATTTCTTTTGAGAAAAGAAAAAGAAACAAAAAGAAAAATATTCCCTTACGACAAATTTTGTGTCGTTACATTTTTTCTTCCAATAATAAAACGTTTATTTAACGAACGATCAAGCAAAGAAAGGATCGACACATTGTGTTATTACATTTTAAAGGAATTCACGCAATATATTTCGTTTCTCTAACTGTAAACTTAAAATGGCAGGGTTGGGGGGGGGGTTGCCCGGGAGAATAGAAAAGAAAAAAAATACAAATAGATACAAATGGAAGAGTTATCTTTCGTACGAAACTTCTTAAGCCGATTCCTTATCAAAATCGTAAAACATATTATCCTAACGCAAATCGCTCTGAGACGATCTACATATCTCGAATTTACGTGATACACTGACACGAGCGAGCATTCGTCGTTGACTTTTCCAACGGTGTCACATTCAAGTGCAATTGAATTATTCAAAACTGTTCTTAACTAAGCGAGACGAGGCGTCGAGTAAAGTTTTTGATTATTCGGAAAGGCCATTATTCGAATGTAAGCTATTCTTGAAAGAAAACTGTTTTCACTTCTAATTTACATACGTCCCGCGTGCCACATTTCACGGCGCTAATTAGCTTCTCTCTCCATTCCCTTTTTTCTTTCTTTCTCTTTTTTGTTCTTTTTTTTGTTTGTTTTTTCTTTTTTTTCTTTTTTTTCTTTTTTTTTTTTTTTTTTTTTTTTTTTAGTCGCTATGAACTTACGCTCATACAAAAATAAGCGTGCACGTTTCTCTACTTCGTATAAACAAGTATCATCCAATTATCCAATTTGTCTGATAAAAAAAAAAAAAGAAAAAGGAAGGAAGGTGTACATATGTACGTAGCAGTTAGAAAAAAAGAAACAAGTACTTTCGGGTTGAAGGCAACGTTTTCGCTATGGGTCAGCGAGACGTAATAAAATGTCAAGAAATAAAGAAGGTGACCATCCAACTGATGCTGCATCGTTATATTTCCAGACGCAAACTCTTCTTCATAGTTTTCCGTTTTTCTTTCTTTCCTTATTTTTCTCTCCCTCCTTCTGTTTTATTTATCCTCGTTACACTTCGTTAGCGCACGAGCGAACGACCGAGCCTGTTTCGAATTCGTTCAAACGAATATATCACGATGAATGAGCTAAAAAATAATCAATGAGCGTTACCGGAGGTATTACCGAATTATTGACGGAATCGTTAAAAGAAAAACGAAAAAACTCGGTCAGATTTTGTCTTATTTTTAATTACTTCGCAAAAGCCTCTTTCCCTTGTTCACTTGTTTACTTCTTTTCCCATTTCTTACTCTTTTTCTTATTCTATCCATTTTGCCGTTTCAAAGAGGAGACGGTGCCTCTCGCGGAAAAAATAATTCGACAGGTGACAGTCAATCGCCTCGGGAAAACAATTTTAATATTCGACGAACGACTCACGATCGAACATTGAGATAAGACGCCTTTTGTCTTGTTTTTTCTGATTAGAGAGAGAGAGAGAGAGAGAGAGAAAGAGAGAGAGAGAAGAAAAACGGAAACGTCGCATGCTTCGATCGATAGATACTTATGCAACAATGTTCACACAGAAGAATACATTATCGACATTAAACCGGTATACTTGGTACAGCCGTTAGATGAAATTCTCCGCTATGGCTAGAGAGAGAGATTATAGAACTTGCAATCGCTGACTCGATCGTGCAAAGACTCCAAAGAGATGCATGCGGTGCGTGAGTGCATATTCCTTGCACACCTGCTTCCCATCGGTTCTCTCGAGGACTATCAACTAATTACCCTATTAATATCGCTAGATAGTTGCACGAACCCTTAATATTTTGGCTACCCAGACGGTGCTTTACCGTCTACACGAGTTAGAATCTTCTTCCGTAAAAAATGTCGAATAATAAAGCTTAGTACTTGGATGTGTTCTATTACTTTTCTTTTTTTTCTTTTCTTTTCTTTTCTTTTCTTTTCTTTTCTTTTCACCGTGAATAAGAAAAAATCGAAAAAAATGAAAAGGATATTCCAAGAGACATTATTATTGCTTCTCATTGTAGCTACCGAGAAAACATATATATTCTTTCTTGAGATAAGTTCTCGGCTACTAAAAACATTCACGATGCATTCCTGAAGCCGCGAAAACTTTTCAAAGAAATATGTATTATAGTTGTAAATAAACGGCTATCGAACGTGAGCATAAAGGGAGCTCCGAATATCCGCCTGTAAAGAGTTGCCTTTCTCGATGAAACTCGATTTACGTCAAAGTCTCGATATCGAGGAAATATGGAAAATAGCTGTGCGAAAAGAGGCGAGTCTTTGTTAATGCGAGCTACATTCGATGTAAAAAAAATGTTCTGCTTTTAGAATATGAATAAAATATCCGAGAATAAGTTCATTGTTGATGACTGATATCTACTAAATATTACATGTCCAATAGAATTATATTGGATCAAAAATGAAAGATATTTTTTTTTTTTTTTTTTTTTTTTAGAGTTAATCAATAAACTCGAACCTCAAAAAGTTTCATGTATTAAAGTGTTATATCGTTTTTAAGTTCATCTTATTGCATTCCGATATGATACATACCTATCGTATCTTCATTAATTACAGCACGAGCAGCACGAGCTACGATCTCTATTGACCAAGTAAAATTTTTCTAAACCAAATAAATAATTTTCGCTTCTCCGTACGAATAAAAATTAAATATTCGAGCAAAGAGCATCGGCAAGAGCGTAACTACCTAATATATTGAAAATTCGATATCGAAGAAACATGGCGTACGGACGTGCAAAAGAGGAGAAAGAAATCACGAGAGAGAGAGAGAGAGAGAGAGAGAGAGAGAGAGGGAGAAAGAGAGAGCTTTAATATGAACGAGAATAAATACGTCGCCGTGCTTTGTGCTCGAGCTAGGGAAGAGATCTACGCGTTGAGCACAGAGAAAGCATGCGATCGTTACGAAATAAAGGAAATAAACGTAAGAATAGAGTAGACCGTTGAAAGAACGAGAGACGAGAAATAAAGGAGAAGTAAGACGATGGTCTGGACCACGAGAGGAAAAGACGGTTCGCAAAGGCGGTAAGGCGGTAAGCCGAGGCAAACAAAATTAAACCTTCTTCTCGTTCTGCGACTCTCTCGTGGCACGAAGAAGAAAAGCAAGAAGGAGGAGAAAAAGGAAAAAGAAAAAGAAGAAAAGGCCCGGTTGAGCTTCGAGAAAATATTCTCGAGGCTTTATAGTCTCATTATATACCGGTAGAAGAGGCCCTTATGAAAATGGGCTCGTTCTTCTCTCGTCGCCATGACACTCTCGGAGTTGGTCGACCGGTTGCTCTGCAGCTCAAGGTCGCGTTGTCACCCTCCGAAACTGCTAGATCCGCGGTGGTCTCACCTCCGTATACTATGTCCGGTGGAACTGTAATAAAGAAAAGAATTATTTTTTAATAACTCGTAGGGAGGAAGAGAGAAGAGCAAAAAGCTTATATGCGAAAGTAATATTTTTCGTGGTCCCTCTTCTTTTTCTTTTATTTTTTCTTCCTTTCTTTCTTTCTTCCCCCCCCCCCCACCCTCTCTCTCTCTCTTTCTCTCTTTATTTCTGTTTTTCCTTCGTTTTCTTTTTGTTGTTACATACCGTAATTTACCCACGCGAAGAACACGCGGGGTCAGTGTCTACTGCCCGAGATGATTGATTACACAAAATGTGGGACGTTAGCCGAACTTACAGGCTGGGAAGCGTCCGATCGATTTTCGTTCGCGAAAAATGAATTAACGATGGCTGACTATTCCCGAAATAGCTTCGTCACGCTCTCTCTCGTACAGCTATCATAATTATAGTATCTTCAAAAAATTCCTGTATATCTTTCCATTATTTTTCAGTTGGGATGAAACCATGAACCGGAAAAATGAGAGGTACTTTAATAAAGTTTCGAGAGCAGGTAAAGACAAGAGAGAGAGAGAGAGAGAGAGAGAGAGAGAGAGAGGGAGGAAGAGAACGAAAGTAAACCCTTACAAGCCGTCAGCTTTCGAGAAGGAACTTCGTAATGAGATAGTCGTTAATATGTAGTCTGGTATAATTAGACTCGATTCAGCTTCGTCGGAGATAAAGATGAAGTGGAGAGTTAAGAGTTAATGGCTAAGCCGAGCCAAGATCGTAATAATTATCACCGTTGACCATGATCGTTGGTTTAACGTAATGTAAGAAGATTGAGAAAGTGCAAAACATCTTGGCTAAGTCAGACGACGAGTACTTATCTACCCTAATTCGATGCACTCCAACCAAGTCGACCAACCAAGGATAGATATACGTCGTACTCTTTATGCGTTAATGTAACAAGAGAAAATAAAGTACTATCTTTTCTCCTTTGCATAATAAAAAGTACGCCCACCATTCGACCGGCAGATTCACGCGAATGAAAAGAATCGAGCTTAAAATTCAAAAAATTTACGCTGTCCCTAACCTCGAGGTCGTGACAGCGATCGATCAAGTTCCCGTAAAGAAAAGAGATAATCAATTGGCCATAGAAAAAAGCAAAGCCATTAATCATAATGATATTTTATAGGGAAGTCATTTCTTCGCGACACAGCTTTTTTGCGATAATAAGGTATTGAGAAAACTAAGCATATTATTTCACGGTTGATTCTCAATCATATCTGTGTGAACGTCCTCATAAAAGCTAATGAAACTTGCAATAGTAAGTTTACTTCGCGCATTATTATCCTATAACCGATTTCTTGAGAAAATCGAATTTCTTTTTGATCTCTCTTTTAAAATCGTATCAATTACATCGAATCTTTCATTTATAATAAACTTTATAACGATATATTTATAAATCTAGTAGAAATCATGGAAAATTAGAGAACGTTGAAAATTGATAAGCGCACGATTTCATCCACGCATATTTATGCAAAACGAACGATTATGTGAACTCAGTGAATGGTAGAAATTCTCGTTGGAAGGTATAGGACGTTGGGACATCGTAAGAAAAATATTTCTCCGTCGTTTCTTCCGAGAAAAATATAATATTTCCTCGTCCCAGGTGGCAATAAAAGGAAATAATTTACCGAGAGAAGTCGGCCTACGTATGCGCTCGTCTTGCGCGAATGCAATGCTTTTGGAAAGAAAAAAGGAATAAAAAGGAATGGGGGGAAAAAGAGAAAAGAAAAAGAAGAGAGGAAGAGAGAAGAAATTCTGTCGATCGCATTTATTAAATTCTCAGCCGAGAAATCACCGTTCTCTCGACGAAGAAATTATTTTTCCCTCACTTGAAAACGACGACCGTTCTGAAATTCACGATGATTTGCTCTGTCACCGGCGTCGATTTGAGCCGACTCAACGAACCGTTTCGAGTCGAAGGAAAATTAATATCCCGATATATTTATTCGTGTACGAGATTATTTCCATTCGAGAGATAGACTCGTCATCCTGAATTCGAACTATTAGTCATGGGTCATGAATAAGTATTAAGCATGACCTTCGATATTTTAAAAAATAAAAGTGTACGATCTTTTTTTCACCTTCGACGATTACATACTTTGCGTATGAGATATTTATATTAATATTCATTCGAGTTATACGTCATTATAAAATCAAACGAATTATTAGAAATTGTTAGGAAATTTTGTCGAAGCTTATTCCACAAGGCAATAATTGAATGGCAATAGAAATGATTTCCATTAAAAGGAGTTAATCGGCTATAAATCAACGTCGCCAATAGTAAGCCATTATCCGTACGGAAACCGACTAACGATTTCATACCACTGCCGAACAAATTACTTTCATATTCGCGGTAGAAAAATTGATCGTCAAATTACCATACCATTTCTCGCTCCATATAAGCTTTATACGTAAACGTTCAAGTTACCGCAAAGTTTGCACGCGATCGCTTAAATTCTTCACACTTTCGCATTGCGCGAAGGAAACGTTTCTTTACTCTACCGTTAGAGCACTTATTTTAACGTTATATAAAGATCGTACAAACGTAGGTTATAAATTAGTCGAGAGAGAGAGAGAGAGAGAGAGAGAGAGAGAGATTTAGATCTCTCATGGAGGGCAAATTTAAACGGTCACGTAACTTTGGATACGTAACGAGATTGGTGAGCCGTGAATTGCAACTTTCTTATCAGCATGGACTCGTAATTACAAAGAAAAATATTAAAAGGAAAGAAGAGCTTTTTAGTAAAATAGAGAGGTAAGTACTCCTTTGTGAGTGAAAGGCTCGAAATGTCAAAAAGAGTTTACGGTGATCATACCGCGTCGACGAACGCAAATGTTTGCTCAACGTAAAGGACTTAAAAGAGCGAGAGAAGGCGCGGATGAGGAGCGACTTCGCAGAAAGTTCCGCTTACCAAATCCGACTGGTTCAAAAAGTTACGGATTAAGGAAATAGGAAAAGAAACGATCGATTGGTATCCAAAAGAGAAACTTGGACCGAGCTTTTCAGATTTGTGGAAAAAAAGGAAAAAAAAGGAAAAAAAAAAGAGAAGAAAAAAAAGAAAAAATCTAGTGAAATCCTCTTTTCTCGACAAGAGGAACGTACACACAGGTAGTGTACGGTAGGTAGGTTTTATTTTTTCCTTTCATTAAGCTAGAGATGGAAATTTTATCCGTGCTGTATCGTCAAACAAAAATTTCACAATAATAGAAAAAGGAAAAAAAAGAAAGAGGAAACAGTGGAAAAACAAAAAGGAAAAACAAGAAGGAAAGAGAAAATAATAGTGATTGAAAGGATCTCACCAAGTATGTCGACGCAACCCAACTCGGATTTCATTGGACTGGTGTTGATCTGGCACATGTAGCAATCCCTGTCGGACTCCTTCAGCTGACGAATGTGCAAGCGCCACGTGCCATTGACGACTTCCTCCGTAACTTGGCTACTTCCTGTCACACCGAAGGCGCCGGACGTAGCACCGGAGCCGGAATTACTGCCGGTCTCGTAGGAGACTGAGATACGCGCATTGTGCGTCACCGTTCTCGTGTGGACCGTCAGAACCGTCTGGTCGGAGGCTCGCAGCCATGCGACCTGCAACATTCAATGGGGCATCTCTGATTACGAAACGAATTATTTATCTCACGTTCACTTAATTTCCTTTAATAACTATTCTTTTCACTTATCGAATGCTTCAATGGACGCAAGTCAATTCATACGTGTTATAAATTCCAATATTTGTTGAAAAATGTTTGCTAACCACGTGCTACTTTCATTTTAACGATATACCTCGAAATAGTCTCTGTTTCGTTATACGCGTAATTTATTTTCTTCTCATTTTCGTACATAGGAAGTGACGCTACGTGGTATACCGTGCTCGTCGAAATGTCCTCTTTACCGCGTAGAATGCATTGCATTTCATGAATTCCTCTCACACTCTCCTCCCTTCCTTTTCATATATGTACATGTGGACTGGGCTCGCGCGCGCCCATGTTTTGCCTTTTGGACTATGGTGCGTTGCATCGCGCGTTGCGGTAAATAGTAAACTGCAGTATGCCGGTATTATATTATATTACAATGAGAAATTTTAAGCGACGGTATTACGTTCGTACGACACATTGTACACTCGGTACGTTGTAACGTTGCCGTGCGTACGAGATCCGTGGGTTACCGTAAGTGGCTAATGTGAAGTCGCGCAATGTATATTCAAAAAGAATGAAATAATGAATTAAAAAGGCAAACTTGCAGCCAGTATTCTTGAGTTCGTTTAAAAATGAAAAAGTAAAAGAAGCAGCACGTATGCTTTTAATCGATTATTATTTTCTTCATTTTTCTATCCACACTATCCAAGACAATCGAGTCTTCTACGTTTTAAGTTCTTTAAAATTAGATTATCGGAGGAAAGAAGTTAACCATGTGTTGTCATCGATTCGACGATAAGAGAGTGAAAAATTAGAGATTGGTAATACGTTTAATATAAATACTATTTCTATGTAGTCATTCGACTTAAATAATATCGAAGCATATCTAGGTTCCGCGTATTTACTTACTTTTGATAGGAAGAAAGAAAAACGTGACGATTTTCATGAAAAAAAGAACGTTGTAACGGAATATATTTTTCTGTCCAAATAAATGTGAAATTTTTGATCACGCTAAATAATGGTAGCGTGTAATTGTTAACCTACTTTCGGATATACTTTCCGCGACCCTGCACCATGCCCTGTTCCTTTTAATCATACACATAGAGTTCATGTAAAATGCGGTTGGCAAACTTTTGTATGAATCTTCCCAAGACTGACAGACAACCGCCATCGCTTTCACGAACATCACGGCAGTCTCTTAATTAACGTTTTATCACTACCTTCGCGATCGCCAGCGAAAGAGGAGGAGGAGGAGGAGGAGGAGGAAGAGGAGGATGAGGGTATCTCATTTATTTGAGCTAACGTAAAAGTTGGCCGACGATGATACATCTAGGACAGTAATAATCTGGCAAACTCGATTTTCGAAACACAGTTTGTGTCTCGGCTCGAAAATGGCTCTGGTGTTGTCGCTTCACCGACATTCGACGATACCGGTAGTAACTAGAATTTAGATTAAAGTTGTGAAATGAAATAATTACGAACGAAAGGAAACATCGATCGAAATATTTATGGAGTATATATAATCGACTTTGCGACGATCATTCGAAATAAAACATATTAAGCACTTTTGAGAGTAGAACTCAATTCCTGTGCCGATCTCTAGATTGATTCGCGAATGTAGCAGAGAGGGGCCCGACATACGGTCGAAGCATCAATGTCGAATTTTCCTTCTAACTCTTGCTCGAGTATACGAGCTAGCACGAATCTACGAACGATATTAAACTTGGTAATAACATTTCCTCTACCACAATGTCGCAGTTCTATTATTATATCGTTATCGTTACGTATCGTAACGGAGCACGACATTACGAGGTAATAGCGTAGCGAGATAACCGAGTTGTGTAATACGAAAAAGCCATACAAAATTATCTCGAATGCAACGTAATAGAAACGTAGCTTTCTCTCTTCCTTCGTATTTCGATCGACGACTACTACACGTGGATCTTCCGTTAGAAGACATACATTTTGTTAAAACGTTGATACATGGAAGGAAGATATTTCGACGATAGCCGAGATCGTCAGATTGCTATGACTCGATGTGCCACGAAATCAAGATAAATTCTCTCTCGTCTTTGCGTGCCTTTAGATTTCCACCGGCCAATTTCGTTTAGAAGAATACACGAAAGGAATATAAAAATATGAGAAGATTTACCTGCATATATTTAAATGGACATTGAAAAATATTACGATTTCTCAATAATAATTCTACATATATGTTGATACAATGTATGAGCCTGGACGTTGAGCTCCGCGAAATCCAACGTTAAAAAATGATAGTTGGTACTGATACCACGAATCGTCTAACAAATTGAAATTTCAATAATTGATTGAAATTAACGTAAGCCGGCTGACTAATCCACACAGGCACACACAGACATAATCACACGCAAGCGCGCACTCATAATCGGCGCATCATTTTGAATGAATCACTTCGGTTTAAATCAAATCAATTAGCAATTAGCGAATTTCCGTAGTGCTCGGCGGTAATTTTTTTTATTCCTCGATAATATTCCACGAATTAGCCGAGTTTCGATCAAATTGGAAACTCGAAGCTTTAGCTTTATGAATAGAAGCGATCGATGCGGATAGAAACGCCGCGGGGACTAGAACGCAAGACTTTGCTCTCGACTTTGGCTTCAAATCTATTGCATGAATTCCCTGGTCGAAGGTGAAATACTCTGCATTCCGGAGTCAACGTTAACGCGATCGCGATAATGCGAGTGTAAACAATCTATTGTTGAAAATCTTAAGAAACTTTTCTCATCAAAAATAAAAACAATTTCACCGGGGTATCCTCGGATGTTGGGAGAAAAATGAAAATAAAATATTTTCCCAATGGATAGGGTACTATTTTATGCGGGCGATCTATCATCGGCATGTTAAACGTCTTTACCGGAGCCGTATTAAACGCGTGACGGCTTAGGCGCTTCGTCACGATGCTTGAAAACTCGATGAATGGGGTAGGAAAGCTCTCGGCTTTTGCCAGACCTACGAGGGTCATAGTTTCGATCCAGGAAGCGGCATCGTGCTTGCGCCTGCTTTTACGCGCCTTTACTCATTGTGTCCTGCGGCTGCTCGCGACGGAATTAGAATTTAAAATAGAGAGCGTATCGGGTTGGAAGGCTTTATCGTAACGGGGCTTCCGGAAACTATTCGAAAGCTTTCACTGGTACCCCTGGCTTATCTTAATCCCAAGCAGCCTTCTCCGATGCTATAGTTGCTACTTCTACCTTCTAGCTTCCTTACTCGAGAGCGAGAACTTCTTTCCATGAGCCGAATATTTCATCTAGCTGGATATTTTACGATCTGGAATCTGTCGCTATGATCTCTCCCTCTCTCGCTACTCTTCTAAAATTCGCTTGGCCCCTTTCCATAGTTGCTCTCTTTTCTTTGCTTTTCTCGATTATCCTATCTGTCTTCCTCGACTTTATTCCTTTTTTATCTCTTTTCTTTTCGTCTTCCTTTCCGCGGAACAAATAGATCCTAATCGAAAGGATCGTCGTTAACGACGCGTTGTTGTCTTAAGAAAATAAAAGATAATTCAATTTCTCGCTTCGACAGTCACGGACGAAAAATTGGTCCGCGCTGGAAATAATTCGAGTCAAGCGCTATTGCTCGAAACCGAAAAAAGAAACTTTATAAAGTATATATATATATATATATATATAGAAAAAGTATATATACCATTTGAAGCGTTCATTCACACTCGCGAACGTCAAACCGCAAAGGGTTAAAATCGTACCGAGTCAGCGCGATTCGTTTTACTTTTGAACGAGCTACTTGCGGCCACGTAAACGCGATATGAAGACTAAGTGGTAGAACGCTGGTGGTGGTAGGGAATGAGAGTGAATGCGAGAGAGAGAGAGAGAGAGAGACAAGAAAGACAGGTCGTTGAAGGAATTCGTGGCGAGATTTTTCACTTGCCTCGATTCAATTTTTCTGCCAAGAAGAGAAGATGAATTTTCATATCAACGATGATATATTTGGCGTTTCACGATTATTTATAATTGAATATCGAAGAAATAATCAAATAAACTTATCAACTTGTCACTTTGTCGTAATACTTATTCAAAATTCGCTTATAAAGAAATAACTTTTTTCAATTAAACTTTGAAACAAAAACCATGAAATATTTTGCTTATATACTTCTTAGTCAATTTTATAGAAAATTATTTTACAAGATTAATATATTATATACAAAACTAAAGTTGAATCATAAAGAATTTGATGAAGGATCGAAATGTTCTAAGAAGATATATTGTTTCTACGACAATTGTAATTTTCATATATTTTTTTTCTTCGCTATTATCTACCATCTCTCTCTTTGTTTTTCTCTTGGTGAATATTTTCACGATATGAAGGAGATATGTACGTCTCGAGGAATATTCCTTTCATGAACTTTCGAACGCTTCGGCAGATATTAAAATTCACAAATGGTCGAGTTTTCCTCGCGCGAAACTACTTTGAACTATTACATTTGGCGGGACATTATCGATTCAAAAAGATTATTTGGATGCTGCTGAATCGTAGATATATAGGATAAACCGATAGGTATGATTTCTTTGGCGTCATTTACGTCGTTTACCTTGAACTTTCCGATGTTTCGAACGCTGCAGGAGAAAACTACTTCTCGACCGACCGCAGCGGTTTGATTTCCAACGGGAGCGACGATGATTGGCCCGATATTTGGGCTTAACGATTCTGAAACAGAAATAAGGTCATAAGAAATCCAATGAAATATAGTCATCGTCCCTTATTTTAACTCGACGCTCATTGATAATCATTGGTAACATTTTTCTCGTTACGATCGAATAAACGTTACGTTCTTTGTTAGACCGACTTAAATATTTTTTCAATAAAAAGAAAAAAAAATATCATTCCATCGGTAATTAACGTGTATTACTGAGACTGTAATACACGTTGAAACTGTAATTTTATTCACTACTTGGAAAATTATAACGGTGCAAAGCTAAGGGGAACATCGGAAAATAAATTATTCATACTAGAGGTCGAAAGATAATTAGGTTTACATTAGAAAGTAAATTTTCAATGGCCGCATTCGAAAGGCTTAAGGGCGTCGCACTATTTTAAGAGTATCGTACATTTAAAAAGTATAATGAAAACGACGATGATTACGTGTTAATTGCATTTATCTCTTACGAGTATCTCGAAAGATAAATACATCGTTCTATAAATAATAAGAAAAGAAAGAAAACATTACGTAAGAAGATGAAATAATTATTTACGTACGTTAACGTTAACGTTATCTCGTCGTAAGTCATAAGCTTCTACATGGCGATCTTAAACGTGTGTGATAAAACGATACGATGTAGGTAGGATATAATTATTTCAACGTTTGAGAGAAGCTTAAATCTGCAATGAGGATTTAGGAGGATATAATTACGATATATCTGCTCACGGGATTAATGCAATAGCGACTTTTGGCGATCCACGCGTTATATTCAAACGCATCCGTACTTGCACCTCTCAACGATATCAAGTGTTTGCATTAAAAATGCACACCTCTTCTGGACATTTGAACTTTTAAATAAGATGAAACGTGAAATTATTTAACCCAAATTACATAGCACAGGTAATAAGATTTGTTCTCGTTTCCCTCTTTTCTCATTCGCAAGCCATGCTTACGAACGAGAGAGACGTCTTTTTAGAAAGTTCAACTTAAGAATTTTTCAACGTAAATATTTAAGAAATACTTGCTTCTTTAATAAATGCATGACGAACGTTGTAACATCTTGTATTTCTTAAGGTCGGATATAATTTGGACAATGCTTTTGAATATGCTTGGTTTTAAAGGATAATGAAAATACACATCGTCAAATATATTACGTGTTAATCACGTCGGCAATAGGGATAAATAAGCTCCCGTTATAATCACTATGCAGTATTACCAATCGCAACGAGACGCGATAGATCATCTCGCGTATTATACGCTTTACCGACTCAGCGTGTGCGTAATGCGCTACGTTCAGCGTTTAGCTCATACTCATAGATCATAATCTCTATTCTTCCTATATCACGGATATTCGTTCATTAAAATGAAAGCCGATTTATGATTCTTTCGAGCTAACGTCAAATTCGTTCGAGATAAATTGGAAAGATCATGATGCTTTGCTTTCTTTTTATTCGACCATAGGAAAAAAATGTTTGCGACAGAGTTAGCAAACTATCGGAACTACTAGCAACATGACTTCTCATTTAAATAACAACGAGTTCCTAGTAAGAGCAGTCGCTTTTACGCTCGCAAACCGATCGCAGTTTATTTCCGAGGAGAACGCTAGACACACGAACGTAACACGCTAGAAGAATTGCACTTCGATTTACGGGAAATCGACTTTGAACGCGGTATCGGCTTTTCTATCGAAAAAAACAGAGTGAGAGGCACAAAGAGGAATAGAGACAACTCTTGGTTCATAGCTTTTTTCTAAGCTTTCGCATCGTAAACACACAGAGATCAGATCTTCGAGAAGGAGTAATATCAAAATTGACTGGGCAGCTCGGATGCTTTCGAGGTATCCACTCTGCCCTTATTCATCGTCTTGCCGACAAATCCTTGGCCTAATGAAACGAGCTGCCGGATTAGACAGACAGTGTAACTTGCAAGTTCTCCGATATTCCTGGTCTCGAAATATATATATATACAAAACGTGTGTGTGTGTGTGTGTGTGTGTGTGTGTGTGTGTATATGTATATATATATATAGATATATATATATATATATATATATAAAGAGAGAGAGAGAGAGAGAAGGATGGAAAGTGGAAAAAGGAAGGGAAAAAAGCTAGAAGCGTTCTATTCCCAGGCCTCAGCCCTTATTCGAGCCGCCAACCCCTCGTCTTTCCATCTCTCGACAGTGTTCCGGTGCTCTCCTCAAGCAGATGACCCAAATTCCAGGGATGGGCGATGTGACAGGACCGAATGATGGAGAGGAAGCTGGAGTAGGGCTGGCTTTGCTTGGTCTACCTAGTGCTCAGTACCACGCGACCCTGGGAATTTGTTATTACAGAGATTGCGTATTTCTGAGAGTGATAAGCGAGCGTGCTGAGAAACTTGCTGCCAGGATGAAAATCTTCCTTCTCTTGATATTTTACGATTCTATCTCTCTATCTTTTTCCTTTTTCCTCTACATCTCTACGTTTATACATCTACACCTTTCTCTAACGAACTACGAGAGAATAAACGTTTAAGTCTCCTAGGGATCGTCCGTGACTCCTTGAAACTTTTTACTACGATCCACGTTGTATTATCTTGCACCAGATATCCCGATCAGAGTTTCGATTAAATGCGATGCGAAACGAGCTTGAAACGAGCTTGAAACGAGCTCGCGTCTAGGTCGAGCCCGATGAAGAGAAGGAAAGGGGTTGGCGAGGAAATGCGATGGGAAGGGAAAATCAATCGGTACACGGTTATGCACATACAAGTGCAAAAATTTTCCAAGTCTCGTCGATTTATGGTAGCGTTACTATCAACGAAAAAGAGAGAGAAAGAGAGAGAGAATTCCAAGGTGTAGATGCTGAAAATCCGTAAAATAATGAATGATTACAAAACGCAAAATAGTGAGTTGGATGAGCACTTTGGAAAATTATTTCAAAGAGAACAGAAATCTATTATTTCGTTACTTTCTCGAATATATTCAACATTATTATATTGATATACACATAGAAAACGTATTTAACTAATTAAAGAAAAATCCTTTGGCAAAAAAGTTACTGATTACAGAAGAAGTTATTTGTTTATTCACTTTGAAAAGTGAATAAACAATTACAAGTTGTACATTTGTTCTGATTAAATCTTGAAATTAACAATTAAGATTGAAAGGAAACGTCAAGTAACGTATACGTTCCGTTTGCGATTCTAAAATATTTTCTTTTAAAAACCTAACAAATTCATGTATATACTTGCGTCTTTCATTAACGTACGATTTTATTTATTCATTATATTTGCTGAGCCGGGCATGGGCCCCTCTCTCTCTCTCTCTCTCTCTCTCTCTCTCTCTCTCTCTCTTTCTCTCTTGATTTATACGTTTTAATTACATACTTCCATTTACATACGCAGTTATTTACGTCGCTTTTAGCGAGTTTACAGTATTCCGTTGACGTTTGAGCGTTGTTAACGCGCGAAATATATCTGGATTCGATAAATTGTAAGCACGCGCGCGTGCGCGGGAATGAACGCAATTTGCCCTTTTGCCTCGAAACAAATAAATTCCCTATTTATTTGAACCACGAAAAATCGACTGGCTTTCGTTTCTGCATTTTTCATATTTCGCTTCGATCGTTCACTTAAAAATTTTATAAACCTTCTTGGAATAACGACAAAAAATGACGGCGAACTTTCGTTTTTATAACTTTGTTATTAGGATGATAGAAGAGGATGATCATGGATGAGAAGATTTTTATCTTACGCATCGTCCTTTTTTTTTTCTTTCTTTACTTTTTTTTTGTTCAGCAAAGTTCACGAGAAACGTATAGACTAGTATGTGTAGAGAGAATAACAAGCCAGGTTTCTTTTAAATGAACGCTTTAATGAATGGCAGCACGTATGTATATATGTACATACATCATTGCGTTCGGTGGTGCGTATTTAGTTTGGTGCCTATTCGCATTAAAATTAGTGGGAGTTTGTTTATGAAAACTCGTCATATTTCAATAATCGTCTATATATGCCAACCGTATTCAATGCTTTTAAGACCATTTTATGATCAACATATGATCAGAGTCAAAAGATTTTCTTGTATAAAAAATTAGAAAAGGTAAAATACTATTTTCGTTCGCAACGAAATGATGTTTCATCGAGAGTATGCTTGCTAGAGTGATTATTTACGAGCTCTCTCTCTCTCTCTCTCTCTTCGGCATTCACGCCGAGCGAGCGAATCGGCTCTCAAAATGAAATATCATTGTCTATGTTCGCGCCATTTTTCTCACGGGGATGGGAGCCAGGACGTATGGTTAATACGTCAGTCCTGCGAGGATAAGAAATAATATATAAGAAGACCGTAAGATGGACGGGCGTAGAAAGTAGAAGAATCAGGAAAAGAAAATTGCAGAGTGTCGAGAGTGACTGATATTTTTCTTTCCCCAACTACCGGCTGGAGTCGCTACGCGATGACGATGATTCCGGTAGGGGAAGTTATACAATAAGGTTACCATTATCATTATCGTTAAACGACCATTCCAGAGATTATTGTCTTCATTTTGAAGATAATAATAACTATGAAAGTAATTATGCGTATTCCATATGACATATGAATTTGGTAAAATAAACGAGAGACATCCTAAAATTAAATTTCTCATAGCTCATTGCTTGGCATCCTAAACATTTCAATCCTAGCGTACTGGTTTTCGTTTCACGATTGGTACCAACTACGTCCTTTGGAATTCCATACTGAAAGTTACATTATATTGGACTTCGCGTCTAACGCATTTCAACTCTAAAGCTTCTGACGAAACACGTTGAAGCACAGAGATAGAGAAATATATACGTTCGTTTAAAGTGCAACTTTGAAAATCAAAACGAGTCTGACCGTCGATGGTAACATCGATACTGTTCTTCATGATCGAAACTGAGGGTATTACAGTACTGTCTACATTATAGTAGTCTCTCCCTCTCTCTCCCTCTCTCTCTCTCTCTCTCCCTTTCTCTTGTGTATTCTATCCCCAGTTCAATGTTCCTACCATACGATG